TATCTTATAATTTATCAATACAATTTCATACATAGCTTTCCTGCATATTTCAGTTATATTTATTCTTATCATGTATATTATTATTAAAATACATGTATTTATGGTATTTGCACCAAAGCAACACATTTTTAAAAGCATGTGTATTCTCAATACTTGTTATTCATATTAACAATTTTATATTGATCCTAGAGCTCACTCAAGTCTTAAACTTAATCATCTATAGACTGTTTTTTCCCCCCATAATTTTATTGATAAACAAATAGCAATGAGACAGTTTCAAATCAAATTGGTAGGACAGTTTCAATAATTAACACGTTGCATACATTCTTCCTAGTGGTTAATTGCTGTACAAGATGCACACATGATATCCTATTTACAAACTATAGACTGTTTATATCATTGACTGTTCAGTTTCTTCAAGTTCTCAGAGACTTAATTTCTTGCTCTTTGTTTACTTCACTGGCTACAACTTCCAATATATTCTGTAACAGACACAGAGGAGATTATTCTTGTTTTGTTCCTAAATTCAGACGAGCGTTCTGTAATGTTTTCTTATCCAGAATGTTATTTTCTAGCATTTATTAGTCCATGCGTATAATACACAATGTTGATATTCTGTGTGGAATCAGTGCTTGTACATCTCCCCTCTTGGTTGCTCTTGTCACCCCCTTCCCTTCTCTCTACTCCCTTTCTACCATCTCTTGGTCCTCATCTTTATTTTTATTTTTCACTAATTTAGACTATCATTTTTATTACAGTAGCTGGAATGAAAATTTATAAATGAATAGAAAGGAACACAACTTTCTTTTTTACCTTTTTATGTTTTTTTTATTTTATAGATAAAAGAACAAAAACAAAACAACACAAAGACAATAAAAGAATACAAAATTTCAACAAGATGATAGGAAATTAATAATGGTTGTCATAATGCACATTATCTTCAAAGTAGTTGCTCAGATTACCAGACATAGGAATGTGAGATTGAACAAAGGTTAACTGTTCCTTTCAATAAACCAGACTAATAAAAATTAATGTATAATTATCTCAGCTGTCTCTCCCTTTCTTCTTTCTTTCTTTTCTCCTTTCCCTCATTCCAGTTGTTCTTTCCTTTTGAATAGTTTCTTTCTCTTTCACAATACCTTTCAGATTTTATTTATGCTTTCTGGTTCTTACATTAGGGAGACAGTATGTTAACACATCAGGGACTCACTTATTTCATTTATGAGTATGGCCTCTAGTTG